TGTCGCTCCGTACCCGCCGCCCGGGGCTCAGCAGCCCCGGCCCGGTGGGCTGGCGCGGGCGGGAGCTGCGGCTGCCCCGTCTCCCGCGGTTGTGGAAGAGGGCTGGGGAGTGCCAGCATGCTGGCAGAGGGAGTGGGGAATCGTCCGGTGTCCCCCGGCAGCGCGAGGGCGGGATGCCCGGGGGACGGCGCTCAGGATGACAACTCCGAGCTTCCTCTTCGTGTCAGTGCTTCCGAGCCCGCCGGGCTGCGAGGGGACACGCACTGCTTGGGGCTGTCGCTGGGAGCGGGGGGCTGAGGCGCTCGCTCGGCGCTTCCCTGCCTTTGGGGTGTTGCCCTCGCCCCGATAAGCTCCTGGACGCGGCTGGCGGCTGCTGCGCTCGGTGCCCGTCTTCTAATTTAACAAGCTCGGCTGGGCTGCGGCTGGGCTACCGACCGAAATCTTCCGTGTTTGGAAACGTTTCTTTTCAAGTTCTCGACAGGTGTGATGCGGATTGCCTCTTGGCCTTCCCCACCCTGCTCCGGATGCCCTTAGTTATCTCTCTCTATTTCCGTACGGGGCTGCTTTATTTAAAGGCTTGGGATCATCCAAGTATCCTTTCCCATGTAAGATGGGTTTCATAAATAACAAATGTATTCTTAGCTTTTTTCCCCTCTTACACAATTTTACTTCTTTTTAAATGAAATTGCTTGTAAGAAGTGAGGCAGCCTAACTTAGAAATGTGAAATTCTGTGTCTATAGCCAACACCAGTAAGCTGTAAGGAGATCTTAGCCACCCCACTGGCGCAAGAGGTTCTTCTGTTGAAGTCAGAGGAGCTATTTCTATGAATAAAACCCGCTTCTGTAGAGGAGTGTTTCTAGGATGTGGCCCAAGAATTAACTGAAACTTTCTCGGATGAGATAATAAACTTCACAATGGAAAAGCATGGTGGGGGGAGATGTTGGTAGGTTAATAAATGTTTATTTACAAGGCTTTCCAAGTGTATATGTGAGGCAGATCGAACCCTGTGTTGAGAACCGCACGGCCAACCTTTGAACTTCATTCAGGTTTCGGCAGCGCTTCCGAGGTGCAGAGATTGTCATGGCAGTTTGGGGCATTAGTATCTGAAGAGTTCATATTAGTTTGTTGCCTTGTAATTAAGAGGCATAACAACAGTATAATTGCTATAAAAACATTATTTGTTAATTTGCTGCTATGTCATCATAACTTTCTAGTTACAAAAAATTTTGTAAGGCTTTGTTATTGCTACAGAACTTATAGCAAGGGACTAGCTACAGTTTTGTGCTTCTAGAAACAATAGTGTGTCTGGATGGGATTTTTTTAATAGTAGTATTTGCTTTGAGAGATTGTGTGTATTTATTTCTTAATTATAGATGGGTTTATGTAATTCCTGAAGTTTGGTTAAGAGATTGATAACTACCTGAAAGCTCTTCAGTGTTGTGTAGAAATGATTGCATGCAGCATTTGCACTTCTCATTTTATGTACTTGTACTTTGTTTATGCAAGTTAGTTGTAGACCTGCAATTGAACATGAAGAGCTATGGTTATATTTTGATATGCAGGTGAACACTTAAGCCACAACAACAAAAAAAATCTAAACCAAAAAAACCACCCATCCATAAGTTGATTTTTAATGCTGTATGTAATGTATAGGTAGTAAGTGGGGATAAGTTGTCGCATGGTCTGAAAATACAGAAATAGATACAATATAGAGTTTTCCTGCATTCTAGAATTTCAGACTTTGAAATGTGTAGTATATATGAAATCTAGGGCTTGGCTCTTTGATTTACAAAGATTTTCTTACCCTGCTTGACTCACTAGTCAGCTGACTGAGGTATTATTTTATGAATGAATAAACTGCAGAACTGGACACGTCGTGCAAGACCTCCCAAGTACACTAGCAGATGAAGCTGCTTTTTTTTTTTTTCAGAGGATGATTGCAGCATTGTATGATGCTTCATGCCTTATCCAGTGCTCCTACTTATGCTTGAGTTCCTCTTCTGTGGAACTGTGAACTGGAATGGATTTTAATGCAGGAGGAATTTTATGTGGCATGTTAGTTATGTCAATTGATCAAGCCTTGTGTGTCTTTAGTAATGGATGTGTAGAATGTGCCTGAATTTTCTATTTTTTTCTGTGAACTTTCAGGAAAATCTTAAAGGTTTCTGATGTGGTTACTGTTCTGCAATGAAACTCAGTTTATCTGTAGTCCTAAGCATGCATTTCATGCTTGTACATTTGTAAATCTAAAGCATGCACTTAAATGTTTGTAAAGATTTGATTTACGCTTTTGAAAGTGAGTTTTAGGATGAAAATTCTTAACTGTTACATTAGTGACGACACAAGGATGAACTGTGCTGTCAAAATTACAGGTTTTATTAGTGAAAATCTTAGAAGGAAATGTCTCATTTTTTCATAGGAAATGGTACTGTTTCCAATAGCTAGAAGTTAATGGAACTTTATTCTGTCTGCCAGTTCTTCCTTACCCACTTGTCTGAGTTATTTGTGTGTCTCAAAGGTGTGTTGTTTTGTTTTTGTAATAATATTTATCAGCAGTACTGCACTAAGTAATGTTTCTTGTTGGTTGGTGTATGTTTTCAGAGGACTATGGGAGTATGCTGCTTGCAGAGGCTCTGCTGGAAGAATGCTTGAAGGAAAACTTTGCCAAACTGAAGGACTCTATTCCACTGACAGAGAAGAATGAACCAAAACTGAGTGAAGCTAAACAGTATCTGACCAATATCTTAAACAGAGGAAAACTACGAGTAAGTGGGCTCTCTTGTTGTTAATTCCTGCCAACTGGCTGCTTCTTTCGTATGCCTATTAGTCTGATACAAGGTGTTGGTGTTGCCTGTTCATGTCCCTGTATGTACAGTGCTGTATTGTAGGTATTACTAACAGACTTGTATTTCAATACCCCTTTGTTGTGTCTTCTGTTGGGAGACTTGCTTTTTCATATGCAAACAAATTATGTGCTGCAAGTATATACCCTGTTTATTTTTTTTATTAGAAAGAAGCAGAATAAATACTTAGGAATTCTCTGGGATGGTGGGGCATGGCCACATAACGGTGCTGTCAGGCTAGCACAGCTGAGTGACCTACTGCTATGCCAAGTCTGAGGGAATTTTGTATACCTGGTCAGCTCCACATCAGAGGTAAAATGTGCCACAAGCTGCTGTCAAGCACTCTAAGATTGTGCTGTGAGTCCAGGATTACAGCCTTTCATTGCTTTCAGTCTCTGTCAGAGGAGTTATGTAGAGTTATGCTTTTATTTTATTTTGTGGTCTGGGTGCATGGTTAGTAGCTGCCTGTCAACTCAGCTGCAGAGCTTTAGGAGTGTTTTAAGAAATGCGTCAATGGCTGCTGCTATGTTGGTGTCCTTGGACACACAATTGCATAACTGGCTTTAAAAATATAATGGATTACAACAGTCTGTTCTAGACTTTTGGTCCTGAAACTTACAGGCTAGTTAGCTTGGAAGTATATGCTATACTTTCATCATGTTAATTTCCAGGGAGCAAGTGTGCAGCGGCTTTTTCGGGGGAGTTCCTTGTTCTTAATTTCTTGAAAGTCAGTGTATTTTAAAAATGGGAAGAAAGGGGAGTCCATCCAACCCTCTTTGTTTATATCTTAGTCCCAGTGACTGAATTCTTCCAGGTCTTGGTGTAACTTTGTATGAATTGCCATTGCTATTTCTTTGTTGGTGGTGACTTGACTACTTGTGCAGCATTGACCCTGTGTTGACTGTATGTATTTAAAAAAAAAAAGAGTATGAAAGCATAGGAACCTTTTTTTCCAAAGCATAAAAAGGGTCTGAACAGATGTGTTTTACTGAGATTTTTTTTGTTACACGGATCTGTATGCATGTCTTCAGTCCTTAAGAAACCACACAAATCTTAGAAATAGCAGGCATGCCTTCTGTCTTTCTACTGTTGCCTGAAAATTCTTTGATAACTTAAGAAAATTTGGGGGCTTTCTCACTCTTAAATGTACAGAGGAGGGGGAAGCACCTGACTAAAAAGTGGTGCTTTCTGCCTAGTTTAAAAGCAGGGGGGTTTCTTGGTGTGTATGCAGGTAGTTCTGAAAATGCCAGGCTTTTATGTGCTATCTGTAACTGGTGAATCAGTAGGTCAGCTGAAACCAAATTGGTGGCTTGTAAGCTGTGTATTTCCTGAGCTCCAAAGTAGTTGCCTGACCTTTGTTGCCTGATACTCTCATGATAGCTGTAAGATCTCTAGACACTTAAATCCTTTCTACTCTGGCCTGCAAAGGTAGCAATGTTAAGAGGAAAGCTTTATAAATCTGCTTAATTTGTTCTGAAGTGCCTCATTCTTGCTGTCTGGTATTTTACCATGTAATGTCATGGTATTTTACCATATAAACACTTTTCCTCTCCCTGCTCTGTTTCAGCCTAAGTATATGACAGAAGCTATGCTGATCCTAGGAAAGCTTCATTATGTGGAGGGATCCTACAGAGATGCCATCAGCATGTATGCAAGAGCAGGAATTGATGACCTCTCAACAAAAGATGAACCTCTGTACATGCTGCGTTTGGTAACCGAGGCCTTCGTTATTAAAGGTAAAGGACCATATATGCATATTTGAAGTATGCTGTGTTTAGGTTGAAGTTGAAGGTCTTTCTCCAAGTGATTTGACTGGAGCAAAGTTAGGGCAGTGTTGTGTGCTTTAGAAAATCCTACTGGGTATGGTCTGTGTAGTTTAAACTTAAAGGCATTATGGAGTCTTAGTCCATGGTTTTTAAACTTGGTTGGCTTGTAAAGAAAACCTTGAAATGGGAAATCTTGTGGTAACTGTTTGCTGTAAGTCAGCAACATGCTTGAGCTTGTGCATCCATTTTGGCAAAGTCTAAATCAAGCACTCAGCTGAATTGCTCTTTCTCTTAGAAAGAGTGCATCTACTTGTAAATTTTAATGATTTCTGTGAATTGAGCAAGGATGATGTTTCCAAGTTTTAAACTTTGGACTAATGGAATATGTGCTTTCAAAGCAGGTAGTGTATTTTTGCAATGCATGTCACACAGTATCAGACCTTATGTACAAACAGGAATCTCTCTTCCCCCTTGTAATTCTACAGACATGGCACTGTTTGAGAGATCCTAATAAAAACCCTCTATGGGTAGTGAAACTGCATTTCCTTTTTGAGTGGGGGAAAGGAAGACCCTAGTCAGTTTTTGACTTGGGGGGTAAAAGGATTGGTAATCTTCTCCTTCATTTGCTTTCAGTTCCTTTATAAATGTTGCTCAAGTACTGCTACCTATCTACTGCTTTCTACTCTTTTCAGCATGTCCACCAGCTAATTAGGTGAATGAGAACTCTGATGATCAGATACCTTCAACTGGTATGTAAAAGAGTGAAACCAAATCAACCCAAAATACTGTTTGACTGGGCTGCTAGTAATAATTGTTAACTGATAATAATTCGGGTATTTCATAATCTCACACAGTCATTCAGCTTTTTTGAAAACCTGTTTGTGCTGCTTTGCTTGTTTTGATTTTGTTTCCTGTGGCATTGGTTGAATCTGCTTCATTAATGAGCTTTTTGTGGAGCAGAACTAATTTACTTGTAACTCACATTAACACTTGCATGGTGCAGAGGAGTAACTGTCAGTGCATTAGCATTGTCATAGTCATAGCAGTATATTTGCGAGTAATTTATTGCACTCCTGGTGTCTAAAGGAGATGCATTATCCTCACTGGAAACTGGATAAGGCCCTTAAGTGAGGTGTGAGTGTAATGATAAGGCATGCATGAACACTGATGAAATAATGCTGATCCTGTAAGGTCTTCTATGGTATTGTCTACCTCACTTGTGTATGAAGGTATGGGGGTGGAGGTGTTTGCTTCAGAGGATCAGGCCGTAATTTTTTCTTATGTGGTTTAGCACAGAACATAAATACTGTGTTGTCCCTGTGTTTGTGTGTAAACTGTAAAGAGCCCCTGCCATTGCAGAACAACCTCTGTGCTATTACTGTTCCACAGTTTTTATCTCCATGATGATTATTTGCAGATTAGCCAAGATATCAAGGATATAGTAAGTCACTTGGTATTCTACCATGGTTTCTGACAGAGAAGTCCAGCAGAATGGAGCTTGTCCAGCTCAGTTTGGAGAGGGCACTCATTGCTAGGATCACTGTTTCCCCCATGCCATGGGCTCAGCTTCCCAGTCTTACAGAAATAAACCCTTAAATGTAAGAAATTTGTACAGGTAACTATGGCAATAGCGGTGTGGATTTAAATTTTCATTTCAAAACATGTCTGTTCAGGCTCCCTTTGCAGGGCAAATAACAGCATAGAGTTGAATTATTTAAAATTTATTTATACTTTATGCTAAAGATTTTTCTTATTCTCCTTTTTCATTTGGTATCACTGCAGGAATTCTGTTGATCCGTACTGTGTTACTGTGTTTGGTTGAATTACTGATAGCTTATGCAAGCTGAAACCTTCTTTAAAGATGCTCTTGAATATTGCTGGTAGTAAAATTTTTGCAGGGGTCGTTTAGGCAACAATCCAGAAAAGTCACAGTCCTGTTTTTATTTCAGGGTAGAACTTGAGTTCCCTGCTTAATTTCTTATTTAGATTTTCAGTAATGGGAGAAGGCAGTTAGTTTAATAGAAAATCCCTGTTCATCCATCATTAAACATCAGAACTTTGTATCACTTCTTAGTATGCACCTGAAATCACCTTGGTTTTGTGTAGCTAGTACTGCTGGATTGTGCTTAGATGCAGAATGGCAGTGCAGATTCTCAAGCACTCAGGATTATGCTGGTAAGATCATGGAAGAAAGAAAGGTCATATCAAAGGCACTCATGGCCTTTTACTGTTGGAATCAAAAATGTAATGAGAAATATGAGATACACTGGGAGGAGCTGCACAGGTGAAAGTAGTAGAAATGAAATGTGAAGCAGCAAAACTGAGTTTGATTTTTTTAGAGCACCTTTTCAGCTCCACAAAATTAAAGGTTGAACATTGAGCTAAATCTCAGGGCCTTCCTCTGAAGGTCCATAGTAGGTTCATATTCTGGTGAGAACCAATATGGATTTCCACCCTTGTGACTGACGTGCAGAAGTTGAACAGGGAAAAAGTTTCTTGTTGCCTTGCTTAGTAGACTTTTACCCAAGGTGAGTAGCAAGCAGTAATGTTGAAGTTCTTTATAAATGTGGGCACTTGAACAGTTGACAAGTCACAGGAGAAATGGCAGAAAGGGCAAGACTTCCAGTTTCTCAGCTGACTGCTTCTGTTTGTCCTGTTTCTAAATCCATGTGTGGTGAGGTGAGAAGTTCTGTGGGCATCGAGTGGAGCTCTGACAACAGTTTGATTTTTTATTTTTTTTTTTTAAATTCCCCCCCCCCCCCCCCCC